TCTGAAATGTTCGGCGGTGGGAGTCTTCCTGTCTCCCACCGCTGGTTGTTGGGTGGGATTTTTGGCGGAGAGATGAGTAGATCCGTTTGGCTTCCTGCGTCAAGCTGGTCTGGCTCCTTCTCTCCAATGCATGGAGGTGGGAGTTTCTTTGCCTGAGTAGGATTGTTGGAGTGGGCTCCGAGGCTGGGCACAGAGACTAGCTATCTAGGGACTCAAGCTAGCTTGAAACTCCCACCATGCTTCTGAAGGTGACTAGCTCAGCTTTGTGAGTGGGCTTTGAGACTGGCTGGTATCTCTAATCTGGTGCCACTGCTGGCAAAAACACAGAGATATTGCCAAGATCCATGTGGTGGTCACTATGACCTCGGCCTCCTTTCATTGTTTCTACGTGGCCCTGAGTGGTCTAGCCACGCCGTTTCCCCAAGTGTTCCCCATGAGGGGAGACCACAGTGGGCTTCCTCAGAATGTTCCTGAGAAATATCACAGAATACTAAGGAAGATGGATGACTGCCTTAATTTCTCTTTTTCCCTAGTAGAAACTGTGGGCCAGGAAAATCTCCTCTCTCTGGCATTGTGCTGACTTGGAGGGAAAGCGGTGGCACAGTTGGAATAAGACCATTCTTCTTTGGGCAACAGAGTGAGACGCAGTCTCTTAAAAAGAAAAAAAAAAAGACTGTTCTTCTTACCCTTCTAATTCAGATTTCATTCAGTTCTGTGGACCATGTGTGTGTCTCAGACTTGTTTCCAAGTATTGGGGTTTACAAAAGGATTTTTCTGGCCTGTGGATAGTTGCTAGCTGAACTTTCTGTTGGTGAGGAGTGGAGCCTGACACTTCCTAAACTGCCATCTTGCTGGCAGTTTAGGATACAGCTATTTGTCACAATAGAGACAGCTATTTGTTTCTATTGAAGTACATTTGGCTTCAACAAACATGGGTTAGGCGAAACAGCATAATAAATATTTATTTATTTATTTATTTATTTATTTTGAGACGGAGTTTCACTCTTGTTACCCAGGCTGGAGTGCAATGGCGCGATCTCAGCTCACCGCAACCTCCGCCTCCAGGGTTCAGGCAATTCTCCTGCCTCAGCATCCCGAGTAGCTGGGATTACAGGCACATGCCACCATGCCCAGCTAATGTTTTGTATTTTTAGTAGAGACGGGGTTTCACCATGTTGACCAGGATGGTCTTGATCTCTTGACCTCATGATCCACCCGCCTCGGCCTCCCAAAGTGTTGGGATTACAGGCTTGAGCCACCGCGCCCGGCAGAATAAATATTTATAATTTAAAAAAGCATTTTAGACCAGGCAAGGTGGCTCACACCTGTCATTTCAGCACTTTGAGAGGCCAAAGCAGGAGGACTGCTTGAGACCAGGAGTTTGAGACCAGCTTGGGCAACAGAGCAAGACCCCATCTCTAAAAAAAGTAAAAGTAATTTTAAAATATCACTTAAATTCACCATATTAATAGAATAAAGGAGAAAAACCTAATGATCTCAATAGATAATAGAAATAACATTTGACAAAATTCAGCAATTGTGTATGATTAAGAATTCTCAGCAAATAAACAATAATCAGTCTGATGTGCATCTACAAAAAACACCCTACAACTATTATAGTTAATGGTAAAAAAAAAACACAGTGTTTTTCCCCCGAGACTAAGACCAAGGCTGGGATATCCATTCTCACCACCAATATTCACCACTATACTGTGGGCTTAACAGTGCAATATGACAAGAGAAAGAAATACAAGGCACACAGAATGGAAAAGAAGAAATAGAACTATCTTTATTTGCAGATAATAGTCACATACCTAGAAAAGCCTAAGGGATTTACAAAAAAGCTGGTAAAACTAATAAGTAGATTTAACAGTATTGCAGAACACAAAGTATTTCTGTATCCTAACAAAGAATAATCAAAAACTGGAATTTAAAAAATTATTTAGGTTGGGCATGGTGGCTCACACCCCATAATGCCAGCACTTTGGGAGGGTGAGTTGGGAGGATTGCTTGAAGCCAGGAATTTGACACCAGCCTAGGCAACAAAGAGAGACCTTGCCCATACAAAAAACAAAGCCAGGCACATACCACCATGGAAAGCTACTTGGAAAGCTGAGGCAGGATGATCACTTGAGCCTAGGAATTCAAGGCTGCAGTGAGCTATCAGCATGCCACTGCACTCTAGAATGAGAGGCAGAAAAAATAAACCATCTGTGCACTGAGGTACATTATGAAAGCATTACATGACTGTTTTGGGAAGAACTCCGAATTGTGTTTCATCTGCTCCCATACCAACACAACAATCATCAATACACAAGAAGACTTTCATGACCAAATGTTTGAGCATTTTTCCCACACACTAAGCAGTGGACATTAAGTGGGTGTCCAATTTTCTTTGGACACTATCTACTTGGAGATAGTGGGTCTCACTATGTTGCCCACTATCTACTATCTCCAAGCAGATAGATGCCACAGGTCGAGGGCTCAGTCGCCAAAACTGCCCCGCCTCCCAGACATCAGTTGTAACTCTGGGCCTCTGGAAATTCTGACCAACTGGCTTCAAGTTGGGGTTCCCACAACCCCAACTTGGGGTTCGATTAATTTGCTGGAGCAGCTCACAGAACTCAGGGAAACACGTTTACCAGTTTATCATAAAGAAAATCATAAAGGATACAGATGAAGAGATGCATAGGGCGCAGTATTAGGGAAGAGGCGCAGAGCTCTCCTGCCCTCCCTGGGTATGTCACCCTCTAGGACACTCCATGCGTTCAGCTATTAAGAAGCTCTTGGAACCCAGTCCTCTTGGGTTTTTATGGAGGCTTCATTAAGTTGGCATTCTTTCCCCCAGCATATGGAGCAGGACCCTCTCTGGAATGAGGATTTATGACCCATAGTCCTATCTTGGGGAGGTGAAAGGAAGGCAAGAGAAGGTCAGAGAGATTCTGTTTCCTGAGGGTTGTTTGCAAGGCCCAACATGCCCAATATTATAACAAAAGCTTATAACAAGGGCTATGGGAATGATAAGCCAGGAACCCAGGATAAAAACATATATATATACCAAACACCACAATGACCCAATCTCATGGCATTTCACTCTTAGATTTTTCTTATTTATTTTTTTTGAGACAGAGTCTCACTCTGTTGTCCAGGCTGGAGTGCAGTGGAGCAATCACTGCAACCTCCACCTCCCAGGCTCAAACAATTCTCGCACCTCAACTTCCCCATTAGCTGGGATTACAGGCCACGCTGCCATACCTAGATAATTTTTGTATTTTTAGTAGAGACAGGGTTTCACCATGTTGGCTAGGCTGGTCTCGAACTCTTGGCCTCAAGCCATCCGCTGACCTCGGCCTCCCAAAGTGCTGGGATTACAGGTGTGAGCCACCAAGCCTGGCTGGCATCTTTAAATTTTTAAAGAGTTGTGTACTTCACCTTCTAGCTATGCTTGCCTTTTACATGTATTAGGGCCCAGAAGCTGTAAATACTTACAAAAATGGTGAAATCTTACTAAAGATAAATTAGAATTATGATGACCATTATGTGGAACATTCCAGATGAATAAGACTGTTCTTCTAAGAACTGAGTTTAAAAATGAGGGCTCCTGAATCAGCCCCTCCCACAGACACCTATTGATGTACAAAAGCTTCTAAAGATTTCAAAAATGTTTGCCTCTTTAAAAGATCCCACGTAGAAGGCATATGAAAAGTTTAAGCAACTAATTTATAAGAAAATTGAATCTGCCAACATTTTCACTTAGTTACTATTTTACTCCAAAGGCAAAAAGAAAGCTAGGTAATATTTGTAAAAATTAGGCCCTTGGGTTAAGCAGGTTTGCTTCTTTTTCAGAACTATCCATCTGAGTCCAGAAATAGGAACCCCTTTGCCTGCTCTATTTGCTAATGGGCTCTGCCCTGAACTCAGTAATCTAGTTAAGAAACAGAAGCTAAGTTGAAAAGACTGCCTATTGAATTAAATCAGTCTCCAAAATTTGCCTTTCTGGTATTTAGCCAGTTATTTTGAAACTCTTTGTAAAAATGCATATCTTAAAGGAAAATCAGTAGAAATTCTTACAATAGGTGAGAGCATTAATCCAAATAAACCTTGCCTTCGACCATTTTGTCTTAACTTGGCTTCTTAGCTCAGTTGGGCTTTCTGTCTTGGCAAATACCAATATTTAGGCTTGAAATGTAAGTTCTCTGCCTTTGTGATGTAAATGTTCAACCTTGTGTTACCTAGGAACCATTTCTTTGAAAATGCAATTCAGGGTAGAAAGTTTTCAAATGTTTATTAAAAAGGGGATGAATAGTGGACTATGATGGGTTTAAAACAAAAGTTTCATCTACTCATGATTGGGTGGATCAGAGGAACTCACTGCTGGTCCCCTAACATTCCAAGGCTCAAAACCAGTCAGCTCAATTTACTCGTTTGGATTCTTTTTTTTTTTTTAATTGTACTTTAAGTTCTGGGGACAGAACTTGCAGGATTATTGCAGAGTACACACATGCCATGGTGGTTTGCTGTCTCCATCCCCCCGTCACCTACATCAGGCATTTCTCCAAATGTTATCCTTCCCTAACCTCCCGAGCCCCTGCTGTGCCTCCCCTAGCCCCAACAGACCCCAGTGTGTGATGTTCCCCTCCCTGTGCCCATGTGTTCTCATTGTTCAACACCTGCCTATGAGTGAGAACATGTGGTGTTTGGTTTTCTGTTCTTGTGTCAGTTTGCTGAGAATGATGATTTCCAGAAATTTTTTAAAGCCAGAAGGCAGAGATTCCAATGGGCAACCTAACTAACAACCACTTAGGGTAATAATCAACCAGGTCAGTCAAGAAAAGGGCAAGGTCCCTTGACTCAATCCCCCTGTTGGAATGGGTATAATTAGCAAATTCATGTTTTAATGACCAGAACTCAGATATTCCTGCCTCGCGGTATTTTCTACTTCTAATTTTCTCAAACCTTTGAGAGTGTCAAAGAATAAAATCTCAACAAATTAAATTGTAAAGATCCAATTGGCTTTTATTAGTGATTCATGAACTGGGCAGCATCCAGCCTACAAAATAAACAGGAGCCCTACCAGGTATTACAGAATAGTCTGCATTTGTAAGGCAGCACTGGCAGGAGCAAGGAAACAGCATGGTAGGAATAGCAGACTGGTTAACATCAGGTTACTTTACTTGTGTGGATTAAAGCAGAGGGGGCTTCCTAATCCTAATCATGCTGACTCAGGTTGACGGGACTCCCTTTGATCAGTTGCTGTGAATCTCCTGACTTTTTGAAACTGTCCTATTTTTAATTCACTTTGGTTACACAGACTCCATTCATGGATGGAGAGGTGAGATCTTGAAGTTCCATTCAACATAAATGTGTTGGAAAGTTTTTGTTAGATAGGGCTTGTTAATTTTGGCCTTGGGCTAGTCCTTCCCCATCTCTGATCCTCTGCTTCCTAACATAAAATACAGCTCAAATGCTCCTAACATTATGATTCTAAGAAATATCAGGATTAGATTAATTGCTTAATAGCACAATAATATTAGAGAGTGGAAGGTGAGAAGCAAAATAATTACACTTAGCAAATATTTTAACTGATTGAAATTAAAGATAAGAGCTCTTTTAAAGTTTAGCCTCCCCTCAACCCTCCTACCCTCAAACCACTGTTTGCTAGGGCTGCCATAACAAAATGCCACAGATTGGGTGGCTTTTTAATTTAATTTATTTTGTGAGGGTACAGACAGGGTCTTACTATTGTCCAGGCTGGCCTTGTACTCCTGGCCTCAAGCAATCCTCCTGCCTCGGCCTCTTACCATGGATGGCGTAACAACAGACATTTATTTCTCACTATTCTGGAGATTACAAGTCAAAGATCAAGGTGCTGGTGATTTCGTTTCTTCTGAGGCCTCTCTCTTTGCTTGCAGAGAGCTGCCTTCTCACCATGTCCTCTTCTGGTCTTTGTTCTGTGCACGCATCACCGGTATCTCTTATGTCCAAGGACACTATGTTGGATTAGACTAAGAGCCTCCTTGAACTTAGTCACCTCTGTAAAGGCCTCATCTCCGAACAGTCACATTAGAAAGAAATGGCAGTTAGGACTTCAACAAATGAATTGGGAGTTGCACAATCCAGCCCATACCAATGATCTAGTCTAAGGTTCCTGTTGCAAAACACTGCATACTTCTGAGGAGAAAATTATTTTGCTTTAGGACAATTTAAACATATTTTTAAATGGAACACATACTGCAATTTGTTAAAATACATTAGTAATATTTTCTTATGGCTAAGTCCACTTGGAAAGCTAGTTATCAAAATGAAAAATGATTGTTTCATTTAGTGCTCACCAGTATTAGTTTTTTGTGATATTTGTAAAATGTACTATATAAGATTTTCTTTAAAATAAGTATATAAAAGTCAAATACATCATTAAGATTTTCATTAGTATACAATCCAAAACTAAAAATTTTAGAACAGACTAGCTTCATTTTACATGACAAAAAGCTTTGAAAGAGCTACTTTTACTGCTTGATCTGACTGGCTGCCAAAAATACTTTTCTTGGTGGAAGACAGTGAATGAAATGTAAGGCTCAGAGGGTAAAACCCTTGAAATATAAAAACACATACTGTCATAGAATCCCACTTAAGGAAGCTTCTGTTTGATTAGCTTGCCATTTTAATTACAATTTCAAGTCTTATAGAGACAGAAATTCTATTTTTTCCAGAACAAATGTGCATATTCTTATAATACAACAGGGAAGAAAACAAACATTAGATTTTAATTTGTTGAGCTTTTTTTACTTTTTGAGCCTAGCAGTCGACATATTTTTTTTCCTTTTCCTTCACAGTCTGGCATTCATCTGACTCATTAGCTTCTCCAATTTGATTGCTAGGGCCATGTTACCTTTAATCTTCAGTCTTCCTGACATGAATGCCATTGTTGGTTTTAGTTTCCCTAAAATGAGAAAATGAGAGAGGGAAAAGCAACCATTAGTACCCTCAGGGATATACTGCTTTAAGAGCATGCATATAAAGGTTCTTTATGAAAAGAACCTCCTTGAGTTCTACAAACCTCAAACCACAGAAGCAAAGAAATTTCTGTTACAGCATTTTATACCAGTATCTTGGAAATCCCAATTCCTAGACTTAGATGTTAACAATATCCTATAATATAGAGGTAGCATGAAAACAACAATCAGCAAAAGATTATAGCAAATCTTTTTACACTAAAAAGATTTTTTTTTTTTGGAGACAGAGTTTCACTCTTGTTGCCCAAGCTGGAGCGCAGTGGTGTGATCTCAGCTCACCACAACCTGTGCCTCCCAGGTTCAAGGGATTCTCCTGCCTCAGCCTCCAGAGTAGCTGGGATTACAGGCATGTAACACCACCCCCTGCTAATTTTATATTATTTTTTTTTTTTACTAGAGACAGGGTTTCTTTGTATTGGTCAGGTTGGTTTCAAACTCCAGACCTCAGGTGATCCACCTGCCTCAGCCTCTCAAAGTGCTGGGATTACAGGCATGAGCCACCACGCCCAGATACACTAAAATGATTTTTATACACTAAAGGATACACGACCCTCATATGAATTCTTGTAAACAAACACTGTCTATTTTAGTTAATTTTCCAACTTATTATAGTTCATTAAACTTTTAACATTTCAAGTTCAAAAAACCCAACAGTATAAATGAACAAAATATTCTTAAGAAATGATTATTAAAAGTATAGTGTATGGACACAAAATATGTGTTAGCATTACTTTAACCATAGAAATGCCAGGGTATAAAAAATGTGTGCATTAAAATAGAATTATAGCTAATAACAACATGTAATAAATATGAGCTCCATGGAGAGAGATTAATTTGTTATCTGCTACTCTTATTCCAGTGTTAGCACGGGGTCTGTCACATAGTGGAATTAATAAGGAAACAGATTCAAAAAGGATTTTGACTTGCCCAAGGTCACACAGCTTGTATGAGGCAGTGCTGCAACTCAAAGCCTCTCATTTATGACTTTTATTTATGTCTGCCTCGCATTTATGACTTTTTCCCCCCTTTCTTTCTTTCTTTTTCTTCTTTTCTTTTCTGTTATTTTCTTTTCGAGACAGGGTCTCACTCTGTCTCCCAGGCTGGAGTACAGTGGTGTGATCATGGCTCACTGCAGCCTTGACTTCCCAGGCTCAGCTGAACCTTCTACCTCAGCCTCCTGAGTAGCTGGGAAGCTGGGCTCATTTTTTGTAGAGATGGAGTTTCACCATGTTACCCAGACTGGTCTCAAGTGATCCACCTGCCTCCCAGAGTGCTGGGATTATAGATGTAACTCACCTGGCCTGGCCTCATTTATGATTTTCTGTCTTACATTATGCTAATTGATATACATGACGTATCTCCTAGAAGGCACAATATGTGTTTGGTATATTAGTAGCCACCCTCCCTGCCCCATGCCCCACACAGGTTATTTGTGAGTTCATGTATTATATATCTATATCTGTATCTACATCTATATCTATGTATCTATCTATCTATTTATCTATCTATCTATATAGAGAGAGCACTATTAAATACCTTTAAATCATTCTAAATAGAGGTTGTAGCAAAGCCTCATAGAGTTATTACAGGTAGAAAGGATCAAGTCTTTTATTTTTATGAATAAACTGAGCTATGTTCTACTTCAAGACAATGTGATATTAAAAACCCAATACTTACAAATAGTAAATGAAAGGGTAACTTTTATTTACATGGAAAATACTGAAAGCTCTTTATTCTTAAAGGAACAGAACAGCCCCTCCAAAAACACAAATATAGGTATCTGGGTATCCTTCAGCTAAATCAACTGGCTCCTGCTCTGTTATTCTACAGTGAAGCCTACCATTCCACCCACCCCACTCACACACATCTTTCAATAAGCTTTGCAGAGCCCTGCCCATAGAGACGAATGGACATCAAATATAACCAAAACCAAACCGAAACCAAAACCAAAACATAGATAAGAGCAACTTGGAGGAAGCAGAATGCAGGCTCAGATGAAAGATAACTAAAATAGAGTAAATGGAGAACAAATTAAAAATTCCATAATCTGTGTCCTCAGAGATAAAAGAAAATAATACAGCAAGGGATGGAGAAAAGGATGCAAGAGGAGAAAGAGGGGAGAAGAGGAGCACAGGAAGGAGAGAGGAAAAGAAGAGGGGATGGAGGGGAGGGAGAGAGGAGGAAAAGGGAAAGGGGGAAAGGCAGTGATACCAGGGAAAGAGAGGGGATGGGATAAATTGAGAAGGAGGAAGAGAACGGTAAGAAAAGAAAAACCATCAGAAAACAAGATGAGCTCTTAGAGATTATAATTGCAGTCAACAAAACTAAAATGCAATAGGAATGTAGGAAAAAGAAGGTGAGCTGGTCTCCTAGGTGAAAAGAATTATACAAATATATGTGCCACAGGAGAAATGAGTGATTAAATCAGATGATCTTTTTCTTCAGAAAGTCAGAAGAGAGAAAACTGAGAGAACTATCCAAGAAATAATATAAGAACTTTTCAAAGGGCTGGGACAATGACAGAAGAAAAGACCATTTATCTTTTATCACTGTGAAATATCAGACCGCCACAGAGAAAGATGTCTCTGATTTCAGAAACTTTCAGAAAGGGCAAGGGTGGATAGAAAAGGTTAAGAAGAACAGCATCAAATTCTCAATGATAATCTTAAGATGATAATGGCTTCAAAATTCTGAAGGAAAATGAATTTCAATCCAGACAATCAAGAGAGTTGGTAGAATAATAGTAGTTTCAGATATACACAAAAATTATCTCTAATGTATCCTTTCTCATGAAACTACTGGAGAATGTGTGCCACCAAAATGCAGATGTAAAGCAAGAAAGGAGACATGGGATCCAGGAAAAAGGAGATTCAATGCAGCGGAGAGTTAAATTTCTAGGACAGTAGCTGTGCAGTAGGCTTAATGAGATTCAGGTTTCGATTATAACATGAAGACAAAGGGCTCCAAGGAAAAAGCGAACTGACATGACCTGATACATTTGACAAGGTAGAAAACTGCATCAGGAAGCTGTGGGAAGAGTACAGGAAAACTTTGCTTAGTGTTATGGACTGAATATTGGCATCCTCTCTCGAAGCTCTTGCCCTCAGTGTGATGGTCTCAGGAAGTGGGGCCTTGAGAAAATAATTTGGTTTAGATGAAATCATGAGGCTAGAGCCAGAATTGATGTGATTAGTGCCCATATAACAAAAGGAAGATGGCATAACAATTCAATGGCATTTAAGTCCAGGCACAATGTTGTGTACTACCACACAACACATGTGGTATCTATCTAGTTTCAACACATTTTCATCATCCCAAAAGGAAACCTTCAGGGATTCAGCATTAGCAGTTCCCCCTGCCTCCAGACTCTGGCAATCACCAATCAGCTCTCAGTGTCTATGGCTGCACCTATTCTATATATTTAATATAAAAGGATTCCTACAATATGGGATCTTTTGTGTGTGGCATTTTGCATTTACTGTAATGTCCCATGGTGTAGCTGTATCAGTACTTCATTCCTTTTTATGGCTGACTACTATTTCATTGTATGTATATACCACACTTTGTTTATCCATGCATCCCTTAATGGACATTTGGGTTGTTTCCATCTTTTGCCTATTATGAATAGCACTGCTGTGAATATGCATGTACATTTATTTGTTTGAGTGCCTGCCTTCAATTCTTTTGAGTATTTATTTACGAGTAGAAATGGTGAGTTATTTGGTAATTCTATAATTAACTTTACTCATACATCTGTGGGTTTAACTAAACCCATGTCTCTATAGTAAACTGATCTTCGACAAGGGTGCCAAGACCATTTAACACAGGAAAGGACAGTCCATTCCACAAATGGTGCTGAGGTAACTGGATATTGATATATGGAAGAATGAATTTGGACTCTCCTACTATCTACAAAAATTAACTTAAAATGGATCATAAACCTAAATGTAAGAGGTAAAACTAAAAACTCTTAGAAGAAAATACAAGGATAAATCTTCCTAACCTTGATTTGGCAAAGGATTCTTAGATATAACACTGGAAGCAAAAACCACAAAAAATAGGTAAGTTGAACTTCAAAACTAAAAACATATGAGTTTCAAAATATGTCATCAAGAAAATGAAAAGACAATCCACAAAAAATGTGAAAGAACATTTGCAAATCATATATCTGATGAAACATATCTGAAAATATATGAATAATTTCTTTTCTTTTCTTTTTTTTTTTTTTTTTTTTTTTGAGACAGTCTCTCTCTGTCGCCCAGGCTAGAGTACAGTTGCTCACTGCAACTTCCACCTCCCGGGTTCAAGCAATTCTCCTGCCTCAGCCTTCTGAGTAGCTGGAATTACAGGCGCCTGTCACCATGCCTGGCTAACTTTTGTATTTTTAGTAGAGACAGGGTTTCACCATGTTGGCCAGTCTGGTCTTGAACTCCTTGACCTCAGGTGATCTGCCCACCTCAGCCTCCCAAAGTGCTAGGATTACAGCCGTGACCCACTGTGCCCAGGCCAGAATTTCTTAAAACCGAATAATAAAAGACAAATAACCAAATTTTGAAATGGAAAAGGACTTGAATGGACATTTCTCCAAGGAAATACCTTTGATCCATAAGTACATGAAAAAATGTTTGATATCATTTGTCATTAGAGAAATGCAAATCAAAACAACAAGATGCCATTTCACATCCACTAGGGTGGCAATAATGAAAAAACAAAATAATAAGAAGTGTTGATAAGGACAAGGATATGGAAAAATAGAAATCCTTGTACATTGCTGGTGGGAATATAAACAATGCAGCCACTATGAAAAACCTTTTGGCAATTCTTTGAGAAGTTAAACATAAAATTATGTTATGACCTAGAATTCTACTCCCACATATATAGCCAAGAGAAATGAAAACATATATCCACACAGAAACATGCATTTTAATGTTTATCAAAGCGTTATTCATCATAGCCAGACAGCAGAAACAACCCAACTGTCCATCAGCAGATGAACGGGTAAATGAATTGTAGTATATCCATATAATGGAATAATATTCAGCCGTAAAAAGGAAATGAGGTACTGATACATGCTACAGCTTAGATGAACCTCAAAAACATTATGCTAAGTAAAAGAAGTCAGATGCAAAAGGTCACATATTGTATGATTCCATTTATAAAAAATACTCAGAATATGCAAATCAATAGAGAAAAAGCAGATGAGTGGTTGCCAGGGGAGGTGAGAATGCGAAGTGTTTGCTTATGCTTATATATGGTACAGGTATTCTTCCGAAGTCTCACTCTGTCGCCAAGGCTGCAGTGCAGTGGCATGATCTCGGCTCACTGCAACCTCCGCCTCCTGGTTCAAGCTATTCTCCTGCCTCAGCCTCCCAAGTAGCTGGGATTACAGGCACATGCCACCATGCCCAGCTACTTTTTGTGTTTTTAGTAGAGACAAGGTTTCACCATGTTGGCCAGGCTGGTCTCGAATTCCTGACCTCATGATCCACCCGCCTCAGCCTCCCAAAGTGCTGGGATTACAGGTGTGAGCCACCAAGCCTGGCCAAAAACAGTTTTTTTAAGGGACAACAAGTGTTGATGAGTAGGTAGAGAAAATGGAGCCTTAATATATTGCTGATGGGACTGTAAAGATGGTATAGTTAGTAGCAAATAGTTTGGTAGGTTCTTAAAAGTTAAATATCGGCTGGGTGCTGGCTCTTGCCTGTAATCCCAGCACTTTGGAATGCTTAATTCGGAGGATTACTTTAGTCCAGGAGTTTGAGATCAGCCTGGGCAACAAAGCGAGATCCTATCTCTATTTTATTTTAAGTGAAAAAAAAAGTTAAATATCAACTTAACATATGACCTAGCAATTCCATTCTTTAAAATCTACCCAAGAAGAATGAAAACAAATATCCACACTGATACATGAATGAGAATCTTCATACAGCAATATTCATAATAGCCAAAAACTTGAAACAATCCAAATATCCGTTAGCTGGTGAGTAAATAAACATGTGGTATATTCATACAATGGAATACTATTCAGCAATAAAAAGGAACTGAACTACTGATACCTGCTAGAACATATAGATGAATGAATATCAAAAGCCTATCCTAAGTAAAAGGAGCTAGATGCGAAAGACTGTATACTGTTTTATTCCATATACATAAAATGTCCAGAGACAGAGAGCAAATTAGTATTTGGCTGGCTAGGAAGTTGGGAGTGGAAACAGGATCAACTGCAAAGAAACATGAGAGAATTTTTTGGTGTGATGAAATATTCTCAGACTGGACTGCAGTGATGGCTGTGCAACTACAAATTCATTAAAAATCTCTTAATTATGATGGTAGATTTTATTTCATGTGAATTATACCTCAACAATACTGATTTAACAAAAGTTTTTTAAAAAGCTACTAAGCTCAGTGTTTTCATACACACACATACATCCCCTCAAAAGTTTTTTAAAAAGCTACTAAGCTCAGTGTTTCACACACACACACACACACACGCGCGCGCGCGCGCGCACGCACGCACATACACCCTCCTCATGTAAGGTAATATTGTTTAATTTACTTTATTTCTATCACACTGCTTTACCATATAGTGGCCTCTATTGGCCAAAAGGAGAGATTCTGATTATTTGGTTACCGATTGCTTTAATTTTTTTTTTTGAGACAAAATCTCAGTCAATTACCCAGGCTGAAGTCCAGCTCGATCTCAGCTCACTGCAACCTCCGCCTCCAGGGTTCAAGTGATTCTCATGCCTCAGCCTCCCGAGGAGGTGGAATTACAGGCATGTGCTACCATACCCGGCTAATTTTTGTGTTTTTGGTAGAAACAGCGTTCTGCCCTGTCGGCCAAGGTGGTCTCAAACTCCTGACCTCAAGTAATCCATCTGCCTTGGCCTCCCAAAGTGCTGGGATCACAGGCATGAGCCACCATGCTTGGCCTAAATTTTTATATTTATAATGTGTCTACTCTATAAATTAGGCATAGAAATAGCTATGGTTTCTTCAAAGAGAATTCTTATGACGTAAAGTCTAAATTGTGCCCATTTAAAGGAAAGCAGATGGGAAAAACAGTTAAAAATAAAAAGACACAAGAAGCACAAGCAAACTCACTTGCTCCCAATCTAAACCATACCTATAAAATATACTTGATAAGAATAACTAATGCTTTTTAAAAAAATGATTCATATAATTGACTGACCTCATCCAGTGAACACAAGACCACATTCAAAGAAAGATACTAATGGAAAGCCTGTTATTTCAAGTGTATGCTATATAAGTGAAATGTAAATTAAAGAAGTCATGGCCAGGCACAGTTCCTCACACCTGTAATCCCAGCACTTTGGGAGGCCGAGGTGGGCGGATTGCGTGAGCTCAGGAGTTCGAGACCAGCCTGGGCAACACGGTGAAACCTCGTCTCTACTGAAATACAAAAAATTAGCCTGGCGTGATGGCATGCGCCTGTAGTCCCAGCTACTCAGGAGACTGAGACAGAAGAATTATTTGGACCGAGGAGGCGGGGGTTGCAGTGAGCCCCGATTGTGCCAATGCACTCCAGCCTGGGCCACAGAGTGAGACTCTGTCTCAAAAAAAAAGAAAAAAGAAAAAAAAAAGTTACTTGATTTTTTTCACCTTTGGAGGGCAGACTAGCATAATAATTAAGAGCATAAGCTTTGGAGTTAGCTTAGATTCAAATCCTAGCTCCATTTTCTCATTCATCAGCTGACCTTGGGCTTATTATTTAACTGAGCAAAGCCTCAGTACTTACTGGTATAAAATGGAGAACATATTTTATTGGAAAGGACTGTTGGGAGTATTGCTTAACTACAGCAATCACACAATAAATAAATCATACATAATTATGGTTATTTCTGTTCAGGAGTTGACAATAAATTTTTATTTTAAATGGTCTTCATGTTAAAACAAATATTTATAAGATTCAGATTCACCAGACATTCATGAGCATTTATTAAATGTGTCCAAAGCACTGTGTTTAAACTCTATGGAGAAAAAGTTGTGGAAACACTGAAGAAACACTAACCAAGCTATTAAAAATCATTAAAAGGGCTGAGAGTGGTGGTTCACGCTTATAATCCCAGCACTTTGGGAGGCTGAAGCCAGTGGATCACCTGAGGTCAGGAGTTTGAGACCAGTCTGGCCAGCATGGTGAAACCCTGTGTCTACTAAAAATACAAAAACTTAGCCAGGTGTGGTGGTAGGCACCTATACTCTCAACAACTCTGGAGGCTGAGGCAGGAGAATCGGTTGAATCCGGCAGGTGGAGGTTGCAGTGAGCCAAGGTCCTGCCACTGCACTCCAGCCTGGGCGACAACAGTGAGACTCCATCTCAAGAAAAAAAAAAAATCATTAAGGGGATAACCACTGATAAACATTGAAAGATGTTATAATGTATTAAGTGAAAAAGATTGCCAAACAGTAGTAATGGGTATGATCCTGTTTTTATAAGTACACATGTTGTACTCACACATATACAAATACACATATGCATGATGCTAAACCAAATTATGCAAACCATAATAAGATGGCCATAATATACCATAATATACATATATAGATGCTAAACCATAATTTGGTTTGGTTATGGTTTAGCATCATACATATGTATATTATGGTCATCTTTCAGTGGTATGGTAAAAGTAATTTTATTTTCTTTTTTCTTAAGTATATTTTCTCTTTTTTTGAGAGAGGGTCTCATTCTGTTGCCCAGGCTGGAGTACAGACAGTGATGTTATCTTGATTTACTGCAGCCTCAACCACCTGGGCTCAGCTAATCCTCCCACCTCAGCCCCTGGAGTAGCTGGGGACTTCGGATGCACACCAGCACACCTCACCAATTTTTGTATTTTCTGTAGAGAGGGGGTTGCCCCATGTTGCCCAGGCTGGTTTTGAACTCCTGGGTGCAAGTGATCCTCCCATCCTTGGCCTCCCAAAGTGTTGGGTTTACAGGCGTGAGCCAGCGTGCCTGGCCTATATGTTCTAATTTTTATATGAATGTTTAACACTACTATAAAAAAAGGGAAAAGTTGAAGAAATGCTGATCATTAGTACACCATATACAGACTGGCTCAGATGGAACATAGGCAATTAGCATCCTGGATTAGAAGTGGAAAGAAAGACTTAGAGGGCACAGAATACATTGTGTTCCCGTTTAGAAAGATTAAAACAGAACAAAGTCTGAATAAAATTTATAATTCATTCCATGAAAGACTCTTTAGATCAGAATGTTACGCTTAAAGTGCTGCTTCTAATTTTTTAGAATTTGAGTTAATTAACTTATCATTTGGAGTAGTGTTCTAAGAGTAGAGAAGAGAAAATTATCCTTAATTTCTGGCATAGTTAGAGGTAAATGGACAGAATAGAAAATCAAACAAAAGGTTTTCTGGCTTCAGGACTCCACAGAAAGCAGGGTCACGAGGCCATGGCCGAGGGCTAGAATGTGTTTCCTCCCTATTGAAACAGCTGGCAAGACTGAAGCGCGACCTTACTCTCAATAAGCGAGTTGCTGCTACTGAGTTCAGTGCCTCCAGCGACTGGGGTGTTATTGGAAACATAATACCTTAGTCCAGCTAATATGATGAAGCCCACCCAGGAGTCCCTTTGAATTATCTCTCTGTTCCCAACATTATATTACTGGCTTCTCAGTAATGAAAGAAAATCATTCTGACGTCTACCTTCCACTTGTGAGAGGAGGGAGAAGTGGCAACGGAGACAACAGTAAGAACAGCCTTCCCAAAACTAAGATTCCACTGCTGCCAACATGTGTAAGTCTTGATTATTTGGGAAGGGATAAAGCAAAATGTCAGAACTAAATTTTCTCTGAACAGTAAGGTAAACTAGTAAACTGGAAAACTCACCTGAAAACATTTTTACAAAGTCATCAGTAGACATACTCATCACCACATCTGCCTGATCAGAAGGCTCTCCATATCCGACATTCCCACCCTTGCTTTTCAGATCAAGAAACCACGTGCCACCATCTTCACCTAGAGAGATAAATATATAGAAGTAAATTTCACAGGAGCCCTTGTTCTCCTTAGATTTAATAATTACTACAATTAGAATAATCTTTAAAAATGCTGTTTCCAAAGTTAAAATCCCCAGACCTCCAACAGTCAAATTCAGCAACTATTTTTTAAGCACTTCCAGGTATTCTGCTAGTCTCTGAAGATTCTTCAATAAAAAGAAAACCATGGTTCTACTCACAAAAGAGGAAGTAGAGAGTGATGTAGGAGCACATTAAAGGGTCAAGATACCCAGAGTAGGAAAACTCATAAGGACAAAAAGTGGAACAGTGGTTCCTGGGGATTGGGGGATGGCGGAATGGGAGTTATTGTTTAATGGGTACAGAGTTTCACTTGGAATGATGAAAAAGTTCTGGAAATAGATGGTGATGATGGTTATAAAACAATGTGAATGCATTTAATGCTACTAAGCTGTACACTTAGAAGTGGTTAAAATAGGCTGGACGTGGTGGCTCATGCCTGTAATGCCAACACTTTAGGAGGCTGAGGCAGGCGGATCACTGGGGATCAGGGGTTCAAGACCAGCCTGGCCAACATGGCGAAACTCCGTTTCTACTAAAAATACAGAATTAGCTGGGTGTGGTGGCATGCACCTGTAATCCCAGCGACTCTGGAGGTTGAAGCAGGATACTCTCTTGAACCCAGGAGGTGGAGGTAGCAGTAAACCAAAATTGCACCACTGCATTCCAGTCTGGGCAACAAAGCCAGGCTCCATCTCAAAATAATAATAATAAATTTTTTTAAATAAGAAAAGTTAAAAAAGCTGACTACCTTCAGAGTGACCTGGTTAATCTGAAAGATAAAAATGGCAAGGTGCCTATTGTTGATAAATTACTGTATCACACTACCTGTTTATGATCCATATGCCCTTTAAGCAGGATTTTCTATCAAATATGCCAAAGAGTTATATATAATGCTCTTTGTAATGAAAGAGTATTTGTAATGAAATTTTACTTTACATGTGTCCATATGCACTGATCTTAATCTAAAAATAAAAATCACTGGGAGGCTGAGGTCAGAGGATCACTTGAGCCCAGGAGGTCGAGGCCAAAGTGAGCCACGATCATGCCATTGCTCTCCAGCCTGGGTGACAAAGAGTCTATCTCAAAGAAACAACAACAAAATCAATAGTTATAGTTATATAAGTTATATATAACTATATATATAGTTATATAAAAACAAGTCAATAGTTATAGTTATATAAGTTATATAGTTACAGTTGACAATCAAGAGTAAGGGCCTTGAATGCAGCCCACTATCCAGGTGATCACTGTTGAAGGCTGATTTTCTTCCAAAGGAAACACCCCATTTTGTTTCATAAAAACTTCAGATTACCAGATGCAGTTCTTACCGGAGAGTTCAAACAGATAGATTCCTTGAGTGGCTTTAACAACATCATCACTGAGAGAGTCCTTAACAATTCTAAATGTTTCTTCCACAGCTCCCAAACGTGGTTTTGGTTGCGGCTGTGGTTTCTCTTCTTTGAATTCTGGGACAGCACCTGTAAAATATTATTCAAGCAAATGACCTTAATACTTTGGCAGTGAAGGACCACACACAGAATTAATTAATCAGCAGGACAGACTTGCTACCAATTAGACCTATTTGACCAAAATGACTTTAAATGCATTAAGTGGCATCTAAAAGCATGAATCAAATTGACAGAATAACAGTCAAACACACATCAATTATGACTACAAATGTAAATGGTTTATACTCTCCAAATAAAAGGCTGACTTTCAGATTAGATGAAAAAATACTACTATACTATAAATATTTATCATAAACAGACCTTCTATAATCTGAGCACTTTGTGACGCCAAGACAGGTAGATTGTTTGAGCCCAGGAGTTCGAGACCAGCCTGAGCAACATGGAGAAACACTGCCTCTACAAAAAATACAAAAATCAGCTGGGCATGGTGGCTGTTGCCTGCAGTCTCAACTACTTGGGAGGCTGAGGTGAGAGGATCACTTGAGCCTGGGAGGCAGAGTCTGCAGTGAGCTGAGATTACATCACTGCACACCAGCCTGGGTGACGGAGGGAGATCCTGTCTCAAAAAAATAAATAAAAATAAATAGACCAAAACACAACTACTGGAGTATTAGGGATGATAACCAATCCCTCTTTTGTCAATTTGTCTGAGTTGTAAAGCCAAATGAGCACAAAAAGACATTGGAATCAGAAAGATGGAAATCAAAATATCAATTGTGGAATTAGTGGAGTTAACCTGGAGACTGTAGCTTGAATCAACAGCCAAGTGTACTTTCTAATCACTCTACCTCTAAATTCAATCTATTCACCTTTTGACCCAGCATCCTCCCATCAAGGGTTAGCAATGCTCTGTAAGTAGAGATCATGTGAAGCCTGAGGACAACCTGCTCAGAAGGACAGAATGCTCAGAAGGGTCTGAACCACCAGTTTCTTCTCCCCATCCCACTTATTCAGATTGTCCCGCCCACTAGATGAAAAGGGAGGTTAAACTATTAGTCCCTGACTGACAGGCTGCCTTCTCTGGAAACATTAGGTCACAGGAATGGAGGTTACCTATAACATTTTAAAACTTGTATTCACTTAACCCATTGGCTATAATAACGCAACATATGATCAGCCAGGAGAAAAGAGCACTTCATAGGACTGCTTTGCTCCCATATCATGATGCTGTCCACTAATACTGTCTCTGCTCCTTTATTTATTTATTATTTATTTATTTATTTTGGGGGGACAGAGTCTCTCTTTGTCACCCAGGCTGGAGTGCAGTGACTCGACCTTGGCTCACTGCAGCCTCCGTCTACCAGTTAAAGCAATTCTCCTGCTTCAGCCTCCTGAGTAGCTGGGACTACAGGTGCCCACCACCATGCCTGGGTAATGTTTGAATTTTTTTTTTTTTTTTTTTGAGACGGAGTTTCGCTCTTGTTACCCAGGCTGGAGTGCAATGGCACGATCTCGGCTCACCGCAACCTCCGCCTCCCGGGTTCAGGCAATTCTCCTGCCTCAGCCTCCTGAGTACCTGGGATTACAGGCACGCACCACCATGCCCAGCTGATTTTTTGTATTTTTAGTAGAGACAGGGTTTCACCACGTTGACCAGGATGGTCTCGATCTCTTGACCTCGTGATCCGCCCGCCTCGGCCTCCCAAAGTGCTGGGATTACAGGCTTGAGCCACCGCGCCCGGCCCAAAATTTTTGAATTTTTAATAGAGACAGGGTTTCACCATGTTGGCCAGGATGGTCTCAAACTGACCTCAGGTGATTCACCCACCTTGGCCTCCCAAAGTGGTGGGATTACAGGCGTGAGCCACCACGCTCAGCCTCTCTGTCCCTTTATTTACCATCCTAGAATCACATGGGGGCCACTGAGTAGTTGCCCCCCAGAAACAGGTAAGAACAATTCATTAATTAAATTAAATCCAAGGCCAACTAATCTGTTCTCTAGGCTGAAAGTTAATCTGTTTCTCAACTCAAATTACACATAGCCATCTTGTCCAATACAATTCCTCAAAGGTTATTAAATGAAATCTAATTGATGGCATCAAGATACTCCATTGTACAAAGTAAGCTATTAATTCATAAAGTATACTGAATATAAACTGCCTTCCATTATGATGTTTCCACAAATTAAAAAATCTTTTTCCTTTTATAAGTTAAAGTAGAAACAGATATTAGAAATGAAAGCCTTAAGATCCGATGGAACTAATAAGATATAGACCTGAGGAATTTTTTCAGCCTGTTTTATTATTGTTTTAATATTTACTACAGTGTACCTCTTTATTGCCTGAACTGGGGGCAATCCACTTCTCCTGCCTTGCCCTTAGCATGGCACTGCTTTTTATTGACATGTAACATACATTCAGAAACCGCGATCAGACGTATACAGATCAAAATATATATAAAAAAGTGAAAACACCGTGTCATCACCACCTAGGTCAAGAAAGAGGACATTACAGATATCCCAGAAGCCCACTCCACAACCCCTCCTAATTGCTAACACCATATATTAGTTTTGTCTCATGTTCGTCTTCAAATAAATGGAATCAATCACATGGCATCTATTCTTTTATGCCTGCCTATCCTTCAAAACTCTTCCAAAAAATGCAAGAGGAGGGAACACTTTCTAATTCATTATGTGAGGCCAGTATTACCATGACACCAAGCCAGACACAGACATACAAGAAAACTGACTAATGTAGACAGACAATATGCAAATGCATATACATGCATACATACATAAAATTCAGTCGGGAAGTGATGAGTTCTACTTTAAAAAGATCAAGAACTAGGATAGAATGTAAGACTATTTTAGATAAGGTAGTTTTTGAATAGACACTGAATTAAGCAATATAAGGCTGAACATATAAATACATACACACATACATATTTATCCTACCATTTGAAAACATAAATTTGGCCAATAGTTCATTTTCACCAGTTAAATTTGAAAAAGGTGTCACCGGCCGGGCGCGGTGGCTCAAGCCTGTAATCCCAGCACTTTGGGAGGCCGAGGCGGGTGGATCACAAGGTCAAGAGATCGAGACCATCCTGGTCAACATGGTGAAACCCCGTCTCTACTAAAACTACAAAACATTAGCTGGGCATGGTGGCGCGTGCCTGTAGTCCCAGCTACTCAGGAGGCTGAGGCAGGAGAATTGCCTGAACCCAGGAGGCAGAGGTTGCGGTGAGCCGAGATCACGCCATTGCACTCCAGCCTGGGTAACAAGAGCGAAACTCCGTCTCAAAAAAAAAAAAAAAGAAAAAGGTGTCACCCATGCTTCAGTGATGATACCTAATATTTTATAACCTCCGCAGTGCTTATGTGAGCAATGCCATTCCCAGTTATTTTCCACGTGTACACCAGTGTAAGTGAAGGAGGCGTATTACTACTCATATAAGGTATTATTATTTAGAAGCCGATTTTAAAACTGAGCTATGAATTCCAATTTCTTTCTTTCTTTCCTCTTTCTTTCCTTTCTTTCTCTTTCTTTCTTTTCTTTTCTCTCTCTCTCTCTCTTTCTTTCTTTCTTTTGCGGGCTCTTGCTCTGTCACCCACGCTGAAGTGCAGTGGCACAATCAAGGTTTACTGCAGCCCTGACCTCCTGAGCTCAAGCTTCCTAAGCAGCTGGGACCACAGGCATGTGCCATTATGCCCAGCTAATTTTTTTGGATTTTTTGTACAGACAGGATTTCACACTGTTAGCCAGGCTGGTCTCAAACTCCTAGACTCAATGATTTACCTACCTCAGTCACCCCTCCATGGGATTACAGACATGAGCCACCACATCCAGCCTCAAAAAGTTGTTTGTGAAGACATGGAAAACATTCACAGTAATTAAGTAATATCAAATTAAATGGGAGTCTATGCAGTTAAACATAATATGAATAAAGCATCTTTCTTCAAAATAAATTAACCAACTGGTAAAATATTTATTTCTGGGTATATGTTTTAAGTTATATGTGCAAAAAAAAAAAGTGGTTGAAAGGAAATAAGCCAAAATATAGATGTATTTATAACTGGATCACAAGTGACTTTAAATTTTTTCTTTGAGCTGTTCTATACCTTTTTATACTTCTGTATTAAGCTTTTCTTTTTAAAATTGTTTTAATTTTTAATTTTTTTAAATTGTACTTTAAGTTCTGGGGTACATGTACAGATCATGCATGATTGTCACACATGTATACACATGCCATGGTGGTTTGCTGCATCCATCCCCTGTGACCTACATTAGGTATTTCTCCTAATGTTATCCCTTGCCAATCCCCCCACCCCCTGCTATCCCACCCCTAGCCCCCCAACGCCTAACAGGCCCTAGTGGGTGATGTTCCCCTCCCTGGTTCCATGTGTTATCTTTGTTCAACACCCACTTACGAGTGAGAACATGCGGTGTTTGGTTTTCTGTTCTTGTGTCAGTTTGCTGAGAATGATGGTTTCCAGCTTCATCCATGTCCCTGCAAAGGACATGAACTCATCCTTTTTTATAGCTGCATAGTATTCCATGGTGTATATGTGCCACATTTTCTTTATCCAGTCTATCATTGATGGGCATTTCAGTTGGTTCCAAGTCTTTGCTATTGTAAACAGTGCTGAAATGAACATACGTATGCATGTGTCTTTACAATAGAACAATTTATGATCCTTTGGGTATATACCCAGTAATGGGATTGCTGGGTCAAATAGTATTTCTGGTTCTAGATCCTTGAGAAATTGCCACACTGTCTTCTACAATGGTTGAACTAGTTTACACTCCTCCCACCAACAGTGGAAAAGCATTCCTATTTCTCCACATCCTCTCCAGCATCTGTCGTCTCCAGATTTTTTAATGATTGCCATACAAACTGGCATGAGATGGTATCTCAGTGTGGTTTTGATTTGCATTTCTCTAATGACCAGTGATGATGAGCATTTTTTCATATGTTGGTTGGCTGCATAAATGTCTTCTTTTGAAAAGTGTCTGTTCATATCCTTCAGCCACTTTTTGATGGGGTTTTTTCTTGTATATTTGTTTTAG